ATTGTACAGTGGCATTAAGTGCCGTAATGTGCACCTCTGCCTACACATAACCCTGAAGGGATAAAAAGGCGTGATGTTATGATGATGATGATGATCATACAATAACGTGTTCACATATTAACTAAAACGACAACTTTGACCTATGTTAAACTAGGTCGATTTATGAACTTCTTACTTTCTAGAACTCATTTAAGAAAAAGCCACTACGAGTCTAGGCATGTTATTGCCATCGGTATAATTGACACTAGATTCTACGCATACAAGTAAGAACCGCATAGCAATATCTAGCATTTATATTTACGCAATAAACTAACAAATTAACCGCTTCCTTACTACTGTTTACTACAAAGTTGTGATCTCAATCTTTTCACCTGAGCGCCGATTGGGGTCACCAAGTGAATACTAATTGCATGGACAAGTTCATTTTCATTCTAATGTTTCCTTTACAATTATGTGTTGATCCAACAAGTCGATATATTGTAGGCCCTAAATTTTGTATATTTCAAGACATGATTGGCACAAATGCAGGAACATTATTTTAGTTTTGAATGAAAGATTTTTTTGAAATCCACTGTAACAGCACGAAAATGATCGGGAAGAGAAGTTTAGCAGTCTTCTGCTGACTGATGCGACGATTTCATTATTAATGATGACAACTGAATCACACCACACCAAAACTGTGGAATGGTCTGTAGTCGGCGATATTTCCGAACCGATACGACCTTCAAACCTTCAAGAAAAGAGCGTACTCCTTTTTAAAAGGCCGGCAACGCAACTGTGACACCTCTGGTGTTGCGGGTGTCCATGGGCGGCGCTGATCACTTAACCATTAGGTGAAAAGGTGGTAAAAACCAAAAAAAAAAAAACCAAACAGTGTCGAACCCAATTAATTACAAAACTATTATAAACATGGAATTCAGGATCAGGGAATCGAAGAAAAAGCTCTTCATATGTACATACTCACACGTGGTTTTGAGACGAGTTTACACTTAGGAAAATTTCCTAATATCCCAGTCATCAACCGTATGGTCACTCTACAGTCAGTTTTATAATAGCGGACCCTATTACGAGGACCTGCACTCTCAACGGTTAATGAGTGCAATAAAAATAAAAGAACGCAATCTTGTGTTAACGCTTTTTTAAGGCCACACAAGTGGAAAAATAACATGAAGCCGTATAACTATTGCACCATCTTCTTTTTGTAATGAAGTCCTAAGGATGAGATTAATAATAAAATATCCTTATTTTAACATTAAACACATCACAAACGCAGAATTAGTTATAGTTTATTATTATTAAGTAACTGTCTAATTTAATAAGACGTTTTTTGATGTTTTTCTTTATCCTAATATGTTTAATTGCAAGGATAAAAGGAGTCTTCTATTTCGCAGAGGAGATCATTATTAATACAGCATCCTCTTCTTTTATTGTATGGAAAGCGCGAACCGAGGACGATAAAATAAAATAGTACAAATACTCACCAACAACGACATTTCAGTGTTCTTGGGCATCATGGTGACGTCACCAGGTCTGACTCCAGGTCCACAGTATGGCAGTGAGGGTCCTCTGTTCGGCAGTCGGGGCGGAGGCTCGTGGAGTGCCAGCAGTGCTGCATGGAGGCGAGCTCGTGCTGCACTGATCCCACCAGCTCCTCTTACTGCAGCTTCCACCACATCGTTTACGTCTTTCTCCCATCTGATGATATCAAAAAGGACATGAAGTGTTATAATAACAAAGCCGATGATGATCATAGGGAAGGGGAAAAATACAGCTATCAGAAATTAGTTAGTTTTATTTTCCTAATATTAGTAGTATTAGTTTTAGACTATATAGAGGTATAATAGGCTTACCCCCTATTACATGGGACTCATAACATAAGTAGTGAAAAGTGGGTGTTATATTGTACAGTGGCATTAACTTCCGAAATGTGCACCTCTGACTACCCCTTCGGGGATAAAAAGGCGTGATGTTATGTTATGTAGTAGTATTAATTTTATTTTCATAATCCTTAAAACCTACTGAAATGGAATTTGTAAAACATCTAGAGAAAAGTGTGTGTACATACTTTACGACTGCGGCACGGCCATGATTGGAATAAATATAGTTGAGAATATTAAAAGAGGTACCAAAAACAGAATTCGAACATGACACAAGATTATGCATACTTCAGTGTCGAATAGCACTCTTAGATTTCACTTGTAAGATAACTAGTCTGTAACTAAAACACTGCTTATCTAAACTTTTCCCAAGCTAAGATCAATGAACCCAACTGCGATACAATGTAAATGTGGAAGCAGCCGGCAATCTACTTGATATATTTCATTAGTCACTGTATACAGGAGGAGAGAGTGATATGGCTTGCCGTTGGCTATCCAGTCTATCTGATGCAGGCATACTGAACTCAGTAATAATTTAATTGAAAGTTTTCTTTAATACATACACGTAATTATTTGTAACTTAAAAACTCCTATATAATAAGTTAGGATGCAATATGATAAAGAACACTTCAAGCGAAAAATGGGCTACTAATAAATGATTGACGGATAACATAGCAATATTGAGCATAAAAATACCTGTAAAAGAATTAAAATTTGTTAAAAACGAAGTGCACCGACCTACAAACTCCTAAACAGGACCTGATGTCTTCCTTAAGGCTCCTGCTAAGCGTGCAAATCGGACTGGCGTCGGAGTCCGATGTGGTGTGAGATCCATCGTTCTTGTCCGAGTCGGACAACCGGCGAGCCGGTGGTTCGAACTGCTCGTTCTTTGGTAAGTTGGGGGACACCCTGCCGTGGCTGCCGCCGCCACTGCCGTAGCCTGCCAGATGCACATATATAAAACAATAGAAGAATTAGATCACAGAGGTGAAGCAAATTGTTCAAATCATAGTTTTACCTTGAATTAGACGTTGCAACGAAAATGTCAACGGCATATCTTAACATTAATAATACAATTATGTTAAAAAGGATCTCAGTACCAATGCTTTAGTGAATTAAGAATAGGTATCAATTATTCATATAGTTAACTTTTTGGCTGGAAAAATTTGGCAGAAAAGTGCATACACTTTTCTAACAAATTTTTATATGTAATTATTATATGTATGTATATGTATTTTCATATGCAACAACTGACCTGAAGACGTGGAGGGCGCTCGGCGTGGAGTGCGCGGCGGCTCCGGAGCTTCGCTCTCCGGCACATCATCCAACGAGTCCACGATAATCACTACCTCTTGTTCCTCCTCCTCAGTGTATAGGGGGTTCGATCTGGTGATAAAAAAATAACTTTTATTGAAATGATTTATTTGGAGTTCTACGTAAATTACATAAATTCTGTGGGAGGTTCAAAATCACCGTTTCTCCCGTCATCTTCCGTAGACATGAATCTTCAGATTAATAGTAGTATTTGGAAGTAGAACCCATGAACAGAAGTCAGCGTAGGTGTACCCAACAATAGAATAGGGCACTTTGTAGAGTATATGTTTGATTCATAGATTTTAGATCAATAAAGTTCATCTTAAGGTAGATTTGGCATACAAAGTAATTTTGTCTCTAGAACTAATAAAATCATTATAAACATCAACCAATTAGTAACTAAAGGTCTCAGCTTAAGCTTATCAATAAAACCTACGTTTTAAAACCATTGGAATTGCAAACCGAGACACGATCCGTATTCAGTTCCTGATACAGACGCAAAATTACGGAGCATTGCAAAGTTCAATAAAACTGGTCCACTTATAAATATCATTAAGTAGATAGTGAATGCTTTACAAGTAAATTGCCTATCAACTGTCGTGTGAGCAGTAAATTGAGTTTTACCAATAGCTTTATTGCAGTAGATAATGTTGATTTTAACTTGTCATTCAATCTAATTTTCAATTGGCCCAGTTCAGCCTTTTCCTTAAGCTAAAAGATATTTATCTGTGTTTTTGAAAATGTAAAGTAATCTATGTTCTTTCTCTTATCTCTGTGTGAAAAGAATCAGAATAGGTTTAGCAATTTACGTGTGAAAGCACAATAAACTTACTCTCGCTTAAACGAAAGTTATTTCTATGATGTAATTACAGAGGTTAGATTGGAGTAAACAAGACTTAGGTATTCTATTTTCTCGAACACTTGTCATAAACTTTTTAGAACTTACCCTAGACCTTAACACAGAAATAACGCCAACATTGTAAAAATTAAATACAGTCACGTACAAAATCTAGATACCTTTTAAGAATATACAATTTTATAAGTCAATGAACCTTTGCTGGACTACAATCTTAAATGAACCTTATAGCTTTAAAATAAGGTTACGATATTAAATGACAAGGTAACCAGTGATTCAGAGGTTCCTGGATATTTCCTCAGCAGTTATTGTTTGGAAATGTTCAGTTATTTGTGCAGCATTGTTTGGTCTGACTAATGCGCAGACTGTTCATTTGGAATTTTGTGAGAATTTTTTCCTACTTATTACTAGCTTTTTTATTCATAATGTCAGCCGTTAATTAAGTATATCGTCTCATGATAGGAATCACAATCATTGTGATGTTGTGGCAGGCGATGAAATAGATTCTAAGATTTATAAATTATGGTTAGGCATACATACTTCGAAGGTTCATGTCGTTGAAAATAGAAAAGTGACAACAAACTAGACGTTGCTTTTGTGTGAAGGATTACAAGAATCGTCTGAGGCCTTGGTTTCCGCATCTCAAGAAGCAAATGATTTTAAGTGCGAGATTAGAGAGAGCTTATTATTATGAACTTTAGTCTCTTTTTGGATGATTTTCTATGGAAGTGTACAATACCTGAGCAAAGGCGGCGGCATTTGATCGAGTGCGTGCAGCGGGTGATGCGCAGGCGGCGCGGGTGGCACGGGCGCAGCGCGGCTGCCGCACGCGCACCCTGCCGCCTCCGAGCACTCGCGTCGCCCTCCACCCTGCCAATAAACAAAGATAAAACATTAATCAGGGCCTTAACTCGTCGAGTACCGTCATTATAGACACAATTATAGAACAATAGGTTGCGGTCACCGGTGACCGCTTGGTGTTTGACAGTTTAAAACGTAACATAATGTGACGCTTTTTCATTTTAATTATTAGGAACGACGAAAATATAGAGATACAGAGATTCGATATTAGAAAGCAAATGTTCACTTGACACATTAATTAAAAGGCCATTTTCATCAATTATACAAATTTCTTAAAATAGGGGCGTGTATGTCACGTATAAAACAGCTCAATCAAAACATATGTAACGCTTAAGAGGAAAAACAAGTACCAAATATACTTGGTCCCTACATATTTGTTACATTTTGCATTGCTATTATCTCACAAGTGTTGGGAACACGTTTCTTCTGTTTTTACACTGATTAGTCACACGACGTCGATGATAGATAGTGAGGAAGTTAGTTATAGTTAGGAAGTTAACTATACCTAGGTACTTGGTACGTACACCATACAGGAAACAAACTGCAGCCAAGTTTTACGTTTAAGTCTTCTCGTTTCCTCTTAATAAGCATACCAAGATTTTTAACAGTTTTCTTTTAATGAATTTATTATAACTGTTGACGGCAATAAGGATGTGTTTTGCTTGGACGGTGTTTGCATATAAAACTACGTGTGGACGCTTTAAAGGTTTATTTGTCACTAAAAATGCATACAAGTGGACTGTATTAGAAAAAAGTATAGATACCTATAGATACACTTATGTATGACTGCTGTCGTGGTAGTGTGCGTTTAGACATTCCGCCCACCAAAGGATCTATCCTTTTAGTGATATTACAAACAAAACGACAACAACAAACGTAATTCAATGATGTTCATAAGACACTTAATTGTAAATGTAAACAAAATAAACAAGTAACATCAAACCACTATCCTAGTATTAACAAAAAAGTAAATTAAAATTAAAGTACCGTTAAGTTTACATAACTGGTAAGTATATCAAATAGAACTCAGTTCATTATAATGTTATAATAGATAGTAGGTAGAAAAACAAATGGTGGCAGATCAAGTTGACATTGTCAAAGAACAATAATCTGTATGGTATATAAATAAGACGCATTGTCCAACTTAATCGGCTGCCGTTGTTGTCTACAAAGAAACGGGTAAGTATAAAAAAGTTTAATCATTCATAGCTGCTATCCGCCCACCGTGCGATATTATTTAGTTAGCTATATAGATTTATGTAGGTATGTTTAGGTAGGGTATTATGGAGCTAAGAATGTCCACATCATTCTGATAACAAAAAAAAGGTAAGTACTAACAATATTATAACATATAGATAGGTATTTAAATAAGTAATCTAAGTATGTATCACTAGTTAACTCAAACAAATAGAATTTTTACATTGTTATTGCGACGTTATGAGATACATAACATAAGTAATGCGTAACATAAAGGTATGGGTGATGACGTAACAACTCTAATCTAATGCATTTATAACGGGTTCGAATCCCGGCTAAATTTATCTGTTGTTTTTTGCAATTAACAATGAAATTAGTTTGTATTCTTAGGTAGTATACATAATTTACTTACGGGTCGTTTATAGACACCATTTTTACATTTTATTGACACAACACGAGTAATACCGTCTGGGCCCACATGTTTTTTAATTATTTTGCCTAATATCCATTTACTAGGAGGAATGTTATCTTCTTTTAGAATTACAATGTCATCGATGTATGGCTCAGATTGTTTGGTGTTCCATTTATATCTTAGGTTCAAATTTACGAGATATTCTTTGTGCCATCTGTTCCAGAAATCGTTGACCATTTTTTGTGTTAGCCTCCATCTGTCTAAACTAGAAATATTATAATTTGTATAGTTTTCGTCACTTAAATTTAATAAAGGTTCACCTATCAGAAAGTGACCGGGTGTGAGTGGAAGGGGGTCATTAGGGTCGTCACTTAACACAGTTATGGGTCGCGAATTTAAACATGCTTCGACTTGAGCTAGTACTGTGGTTAACTCCTCGAACGTAAGTGTAGCATCTCCAATGACTTTCCTAAGATGAGTTTTGGTACTGCGTATGCCAGCCTCCCACAGACCGCCAAAATTGGGTGCGTGAGGAGGTATGTAATGCCAGGTAGTACGCTCAAGAACAAGCAACTCTGCTATTTCACCAGGAATGGAAGACTTGGCACTGTTGAACATGTCCCTCAGTTGTCTATCTGCACCCACGAAATTGGTGCCGTTATCACTGTAAACATCTTGACAATGACCTCTTCTCGACGTGAAGCGACGGAAAGCCGCAATGAATGCCTTAGCAGTCAAGTCTGTAACAGCTTCTAAGTGTATGGCCCGCGTTACCATACAGATAAACAAACATATGTATCCCTTGTACGATTTAGCTCCTCTGCCTGGCGAGAAACGAATGTTGATGGGGCCTGCGTAGTCCACACCAGATGATTTAAAAGCCCTATCGGCTTTTACCCTCACGTCAGGTAACTGACCCATTAGCTGCGTGGTATTCTTTTTGGAGTACCTAATGCAGGTAATACACTCACGGTATAATTTCTTTGTTAGATCTTTAGCTCGTAAGATCCAGTATTTTGACCTTAGATAGTTTAGCATCACTAAAGAACCGCCATGCATTGTCCTGAAATGAGCATCTTTAATTATTAACCTGGTAAGATGACTATTAGCGGGTAAAATTATTTGATGCTGTGTATCATAGGCCATTTCTGATTTCTGAATACGCCCGCCAACTCTTAAAATTCCATTGTTATCTACAATGGGACAAAGGTTGCGAAGCTTACTCCTTTTCAACACGTAACCACGAGACTTTAACTGTTTTATATCCTCGTTAAATTCAATAGATTGCACCTGTATAATGCAGTTATTTAAAGTTTTTGACAATTCCTTTGACGTAATAAATTTAGAAAAATGTTCACGTTCGGATACAGGCAATTTTAAATTTAGAAACCGTCTACAATATGAGATTACCCTTAACATTTGTGATAAACTCGAAAATTTTGTCCAAATTAACTCTTTCTCAGTATTGTATATAGCAGTTAAAGATCTCGTGCGTTCCTCCTCATGCGTATCTTCGTAGTAAGGAACGTAGTTTATATTCATATTTAGGTTAGACAGCCAAGTTGGTCCATTCCACCACAGGGAATGATTTAATAATTCTGATCCTTGTAAACCCCGTGACGCACAGTCGGCAGGATTCATGTCTGTAGATACGTGCCCCCATTGTTCGAAATCTACAGTGTTAAGTATGTCTGACACCCTGTTGCTCACGAAAGTGTTCCACCTGCTTGGCCCACCCTTTAGCCAAGCAAGTACAATGGTGGAATCTGTCCACGCAAATAACTTGTTTTTAGGCACACACATCACTTGAGATGTTTCTAGTATTAGTTTAGCCGCTAACGCCGCACCGCAGATTTCCAATCTTGGAATTGAGACTTGTTTCTCTATTGGTGCTACCTTCGTTTTGGACGTTATAAGACTGACGTATACTCTCTCTTCGTCTATGACTCGCATGTACACTACTGCTCCATATGCGGCTTGCGAAGCATCTGCGAAGACGTGCAACTCTACACTTGATGTGTTACTATAGTGTAGCCATCGTGGTATGCTAAGGCCTATGATGTGTGCTAAATTCTCCCGATATCGATTCCACTCGGCTAGCAAGACACCGTCAATAGGCTCATCCCATTCGAGCCCTGTCTTCCACAATTTCTGCATGATAATCTTTGCGACTACTACAACGGGAGCTATCCATCCCAAAGGATCATATAGCTTAGCTATTTCGGAAAGAATAGTTCTTTTAGTTGCAGGTTGTTGAGGCTCCGGCAAGTTGACTGTGTATTCAAAACTATCGGTTTCACGATTCCAGTTTACGCCTAATACTTTAACAACATTATTGACCTTTAAAGGTAACTCATGATCGTCACAATTATTCTTTCCGATGTACTGTAGAACAGCTTTACTGTTACTACTCCATTTTTGTAGTTGGAATCCCCCAGAGTTCATTAAGCTGTTCATCTCGTGGTATATTTTCACTGCGTGCTCTTCTGTGTCGCAGCCAGAAAGCAGGTCATCCATGTAATAGTCAGACATTGTTATTTGTGCAGCGATAGGACAAGTTGACTGCCCCTCTTTAGCAAGTGTTTGTAGAGACTTCACAGCGAGGTATGGTGCACAAGCAGTGCCAAAAGTTAATCTTAAAAGTTTGAAGTGTTTAATAGGCTCGTCGGGTGAAGACCTCCACACTAATCTCTGATAGTCTGTGTCAGCATCTGATACTCTAACCATTCTATACATCTTAATTATATCAGATGTTATGCAGATTCTGTGTGTTCTCCATCTCATTAAAATGTATCGCAACTCTTGCTGAAGTTGAGGTCCAACACACAAGTTATCATTTAAAGACACGTTATTTGTACCCTTGCAGGAAGCGTCGAACACTACACGAAGCTTTGTAGTCAACTTGTCTTCTCGCAACACTGCGTGATGAGGAAGATAGACAGCCGGTTTATCAATTTCTGAAGGAGTGATTTCTACCATGTGATTTAATTTTAAATATTCATCCATTACTTTACGGTATTCATCTTGCAATTTAGGATTTTTTGACAACTTTTTTTCTAAACATTCAAATCTTTTAATGGCTATCTCCCTCAAACCCCCATATTTACATTCTGGATCTTCGTTCTGAAATGGTAATCTTACTACAAATCGTCCGTTTTCATCTCTCACGGTCGTGGCATCATAAAATTCTTCACACATTTCTTCTTCTTTTGAAAACTTTCTTTTTATGTTGTTTGGTTCCCTCTCTATTTCCCAAAATTGTCTCAATAAATCATCGTCATTTATCTGTGCATGTAGGTTTGTGATGCGTTTCCTTCCTGTTTTATCTTCAAGTGTCGTCCTACCAGACACCACCCACCCTAGGATTGTATTTTGAGCCACTAAATTGCCCTCAGGGTGCCTGATAATACCACCCAACAGTACGTTGCCATAAACCTCAGCTCCAAGTAATATATCTATTTTACCTGGTGTTGTGAACTCTGGATCGGCCAAATCCAGTCCTTGAAGTTCTAACCATTCGGGGAATGTAAGATAACTAGTGGGTAACAGTGTTGTTAATGTGCGCAGTACATACGCATTTACTCTAATTGACTCATTTGGATTGTGGCGTGATTTCACACAGAGTGAAACCATGTGTTTAATTTTCGTTTGCCCCTCTCCCACACCGGACACCCAACCACTCACTGATATACGTGTAAGATTAAGTAACTGAACAGTCGCCTCAGATACAAATGACGCTTGTGACCCTTGGTCTAGCAAGGCCCTAATAATATGTTTACAACCGTTCTTACTATTAACAAAAACCTTAGCAGTAGCTAATAACACCGTGTTTGTTTGAATATGCTTAGTTGAAAAATTAGATACAATATGTTCAGCATTAATTGACGAAGATGACTCACCTAGCGACGCCTCACGATTGATACCTGTAGCCGTGTTTGTCGCCTCGTTGGACTTCTCGGCGTTTTCTTCTCTCTCGAAGTGTAGAAGGGAGTGATGCCGACGTCCACATCGTTTGCAACACGCTGACTGTCGACATTTGTTCACCGAGTGTGATGGCGCGAGGCAGTTGAAACAAAGTTTGTTCCTTTTGGCACTCTCCTGCCTTTCTTTGGTAGACATACCGGCGAATGCTTTGCAATGATATATATAATGCTGATCTCCACATAACATACATTTAACATCGCGTTCTTTCCCTTCCTTGGTCACATTCGCATGAAAGGACTTAGGTTTAGCTACTGGCTTCGGTTGTGACGTTTTTGTCTTGTTAGCTTCGATCATCTCTAAGGATCTGTATCTAGACTCCAGAAAATCTCTTAAATCTTGCCACGTGGGTATATCACATTTAGATGTACTCAGTTGTTGTTCCCATAGTCTTACTGATTCTGGATCTAGTTTGGCTTCTATTAAAAAAGTGATAATTAAGTCCCATGTATCGGTGTTCACGTCTAAGTTCTTCAACGACTTTAAACACGTAGAACTTGTGTCTAATAGATGCCTTATACAACTCGCCGATTCAGTATGTATAGATTTTTGTGATATAAAAGTTCTCAAAATAGCTTTACAGTTATATCTTTTGTTGTTATAACGCAGTATTAACTCGTTCCAAGCATCAGTGTAGTTCGCATTTGTCGTGGTGTAATTACGAAGAATTACTTCAGGTTCGCCCTTTAAGCTACTTTTTAAATAATGGAGTTTGTGCACTGGAGATAATTTCGTATTTTTATGTATCAATGTTGTATACAAGTCGTAAAATGTCTGCCACTCGTCATATTTGCCGCTGAATATAGGTATGTTGATACGTGGCAATTTTATTTCATTACTGTCCGAGCACCACGTCGCGAATGACCCTTGACCTTCAGTTGTATAAGGCGTTGAAGCTTGTTGTGCTGCATCCAGGAATGGCTGAAGAGCCTCCTTCATAATCGACTTATATTGCACATACAATTCTTGAAACACTTCATATGTTTTTTCCTTAAAGTATGGAGTTTTTCTTTGCTCGTCCCTACTGATGCTCAAAACAATGTTTTTGTGTCCATCTTTAAAGTTAATCCAAAGCTCTTCAAGCATTTCTAACCTTGTTTCCAAGTACGGTCTTTTAATCCTATCTTTCGGCGTTTTTTTATAGTTTTTCTCTGCGTTCGTTAGGTTATCTAATAGTTCAAGTTGATATACCACAAGATCTTCCATGACAATATATGTATTTAACACTCGTAAGTTTCACTGGCAAAATAAGGTCCACAAGTAGCGGTTGGTGAGCACGTGTTAACTAGCACTTACAGTAAGTTTTTTACTCGTAATCCAATCACACACTGAATATTGTAAGCACAGCTAATGTTCTTGTTTGTTATAATATTAACCACGATATTAACGATGTCACAGTCCGTCCACAAAAACTATGCAATTAAAAAACGTGTTCCTTATCGCTTTCTTTTGTTCACGACGCACGCTGGTTAGCCGCCGGTAGGTGACAGGATTCGGTTCGAAATAGGACCATATGTTGACGGCAATAAGGATGTGTTTTGCTTGGACGGTGTTTGCATATAAAACTACGTGTGGACGCTTTAAAGGTTTATTTGTCACTAAAAATGCATACAAGTGGACTGTATTAGAAAAAAGTATAGATACCTATAGATACACTTATGTATGACTGCTGTCGTGGTAGTGTGCGTTTAGACAATAACAATTGAAGAGGAATATCCAAAGTCAACATAACATCATGCTTTTTATCCTTTTTTTACGGCACTTAATGCCATTGTACCTCTACAATGTAGTTAACACCCAGTTTTCACTATTTATGTTATGAGTCTCATGTAATAGAGGGTAAGCCTATTGCCATATACAGGGCTCATTTCCAGGCTCCGTGCTAAGATTAAAAAAAACCAGTAATACTTTGCCCAGCCCGGGAGTCGAACCCGAGACCCCTTGCCCGGCAGTTGCACTTGCGACCACTCGGCCAATGAGGCAGTCAAAGTCTTTGCTTGATAATAGCGCTAGAGACCGTTTGGGCTGTCTAAGCAATCGCGGTGTCTAGTAATCAAAATAAATATATGTATTGATTTTATCATCTTAACTGCCCTTCAGAAGTCAAATCAATTGTAAAATTAGAAGTAATAAAAGCAATTTCACACGATTCCATAAAGGCATATCTTCACGATCATTATGATGTGTACAAGGCTAGGCAGCGAGTAACACAGACAATTAGTTTAACTTACATAATGCAAAACAAAGAAATACGTTCATTGTTTCATAGAGCACACTCCACGGTGATACAATCTCTGTACATGGATTGTAAAATATATTCCTATTTATAGACTAGACAGACTTAATAAATATTTTTCTCCAGTTTTAATTTTATACGGTTTACCTACGTATACCTACTAATTAGGAGTACCCGATTACTTTCGAGCCGTACAGGGACCCTTAATTTCTTTTATTATTTCATTCATTGGTTTATATTATTGAGGCTTTAAGGTACAATCTGGTTCGACCGTTTCTAATAACCGTTTAAGCTGAGCTCCAGCCTTTTGCGCTGCGATGCACCATAGGCTTTTTTTTTGTTTCTAAATTCTTGTTGTGTATCGTAGCAAAATAAATGATTTTTCTTTCTTTCAATCAATCTCTAGGTTTACTTAGCAAAAATTATGAATGGGAAAAAACATCATCAAAGCAGTTTCCTTTAATTTTCTGCACACCACAGAACCTTGTTCAAAAACTTAGTCCTCGAATATTGAATAAGCAATTATAATTACGTTCAACTATACACATAATCACTTTAATTTGAGCAGAAAGGTCTGTTGACGTCTTATCAACCGTACCATCTGTTTCATCCGGCGATTCACTTCTTTATCTATTCACAAATCACATTAACTTTGAATTATTCATAAAGAATCTCGGAAGTTTGCCGCGCATTGTTTTTTCACAATACTCAGAATAGTTTTTGTTGAGTATTTTTTAGTGAGTAGCGATGGAGATATGGTATTACATGTGTATGTGCAATAAGGAAGGTGATTTAAACTTCCATTTTGTGATTGATTTCTTTTATGCGACTGTATCTATCTATAGTGTCTGTGGTAGAATTTACCGGTGTGGTTGACGGTGTGAGTGAAAGAATTTGCAATATTTAAACAATTTTGTTTAACTAATTATAACTTTAAGCTTATTTGACATCACAGTAAGATTCTTCGAATTCAAGTAGAGTCCTTTGTCGTTATACGCTGACTTGGCATGAATCCAACTGCCTCTGTTCTTGTAACAATTTATAACGCAGTTTATCGTCATTTTGACTCATCCGACTTAGCCATCTTCTAAACTCCCTAACTCCTTAAACATCAAGAGCCCTTTTATAAAATATTATTTGACTACTATATCACATCTGCAAGCCTTAAAAGACACATTTAACATTAAGTCAACAGACTTATCTCTCTCAAAATAGGACATTGAAGTAGAAAAGTGTTGAATCACGATATGCAATAATTATTTGTCGCTTCTAACGGATGTTATTTGCGAGATCAACTAGCCACATCGCCCTCGTTCCACTTGTCTCGTGCTGTGGAAATACAGTATTAAGTAACATTTAAAATATACTGTTAAGACATTACTTATTGTTTGTGTTTGCATTGCACACTGTAAAGCACTGACGTCATAACAAGGGATTGCCTCTTTGCACTAAGCTAATTTTCTGCACACAATTCAGTCAGTTTCAGACCTTTTTATGGAAATTGAATGAAAAAGTTGCATGTTTTCATTGGAGAAAGTGTTGGAATACTTGTTCAGTAGAGTATTATTAGAGAGACCATTAATGTCTAAAATTAGATAAAACAAACTAATGATGAAATAAAAAGAAAGGTTAAAAGAAGCAAATATGTAGTAAAAACGGTAAAAACTTATTGATTACACAGTTTGTGCAGGAGATGGTGTATCGCTTCTACATCTACCTTAAGCGAAACTAACAATCGAAATCTTATGCAATGTATCTCAAGGAAGATTTCTACTAATAAAAAGGCTTCATTTCATTATCTAATGTTTATCTACACAATCATTTTAAAAATGGGTGTATTGACATTAAATGTACATGTTGAAGTTAGATAGGTGCCAGCCTATGCCAATAAAGATAACTTTTCCTTATAAAAGAGACACACATAGTACATTATGCAATTATTACGTAATGAAGGGTAATCCTATAACATAACATAACATCACGCCTTTTATTCCCGAAGGGGTAGGCAGAGGTGCACATTACGGCACTTAATGCAATGTAACACCCACTTTTCACTATTTATGTTATGAGTCCCATGTAATAGGGGGTGAGTCTATTGCCATATACCGAGCACATTTCCAAACTCCGTGCTACTACTAAAGTTTTTACAAACCCAATAATCTTTGCCCGATCCGGGAATCGAACCCGAGACCCCTTGCCCGGCAGTTGCACTTGCGACCACTCGGCCAATGAGGCAGTCTAATCCTATATTCCTAAAATTGTCAATACGGACGCCTTGAGTGGTGAATTTTACATGCATCTGCCACTCCGTACATCCTTTGTCATTCAATTACGTAAATATACGTAACTAATTTTAAGACAGTCATTCTAAGGCTCAATCAAGGAGTCGCACAAATTAAAAAAGATCACCATGTAAGGTCATACCCAATTTTGGAACACACGCAATCAATTCGACAATTATATAAAACAAAAACCATTAAGAGATATTTGTAAATCGATTTCACAATCCTTCTTCCATTCTTTTTTGTCTTAGGAAACCCATCAATCATAATACTTAATCGTCAAATAAATACGAATACGAAATCTTCTGTTTGCTTGTGACCGTACGACTGACATTCGGGTTTGGGTAGAATGGCAGTAATAACTGCATCAACGGACCACAGTGACCACGAACAAAGATGATATACCTAACCTCCTTATTACCAATACCAAACCCACTTCATCATTAGTGGGTTAATAAATTTTACTGTGAGATAAAAGTAGCTTATGTGTTAGGCTGGACCGTAATCTGTTAACCATATTCTGATAAACCCCTGCCTGTTCCAAATTACATTCCAATTCCTTTAGCCATTTTTACATATCGAGGGAACCTCGTTAGATTTACTACAAATCCCGGAATGCATGCTGAAATGAGGAATTTCGGAGTTTTTATACGTGTTTTAAGTCACGGACAAAAGCTACCTACTACTTATAAGTAAACTCATCTGTGGTTAGATCACAAACAAATATTTATTGAAATCAACTTAATTATTTAATCAGTTAATTGGCTGGAACTAATTCAAACATTAATCATAGTTTGAAGTGTTTTATTTAGTTCAAATTGATGATTTCTTTACTTATTAATTTAATGAACATATCTACCTTATGTATAGGTAGGTAAAGAAGTAGTCAGAACGGAGGTGTTGTTTGTGACTAAAATTATGTAATCCTGTGACTCCTCTGGTGTTGCGGTGATACATCTGCTCGTTTGCCACCTATTCCATAAAAAATCGCTTTACCAAATGTGTAGCAGGAATACAGTAATTAACTCCGTTTGTAATAGAGTTAAAAAAAGAGAAAGTTCTTCATTATTGTATATTAGTCACATGCATTTTAATTCAACATATCCTATATTACCTATTTGCCTTTATCTCGATGGACTAACTTCAGTAAGAAAATACTGACCTGTAAACGGTTATGATCTTTTTATTTTTCTTTCAAAAGTTCTGACTATAGGTACTTTTAGAAATGATTAGCAGAATTGAAGATTCCTTAACACGTAGTTTGCTTGCTATATAGTCAAAACATTCCATACTTCTTATGTGTATACCCTTTCCATAACAACTTGAGTCTTTGAGAAAAGACATCTGCCTTTTCAGGGTTTTCTCAGATTGAGTACTTATCCTCAAAGACCCTGATATTTTAAAATAATCTCATCATTTGC